CGGAAACCTCTATACTCTGACGCTGACAGATGTTATGAAATGTTAGAAAGTATTGAAGGCTACTAAGTAAATAACTTTTCTAAGAGGTGTAAATTTTCTAACTTTGTGATTGATAAAACAGCACTGAAGTGATACATTAAAAAATGTTTTGGAAAAACAACTTAACATTTCGAAGACTAAACATTCATACACGCACATATAGATAACTAATCTCTCCCATACTACAAAGTTCGAATAAAGTTTGCTGTTACACAGCTAAACCAAACGCATCCCAGACAAAACCAAAGTAGGCTATAATATGATCAGTAAACATGGGGAGATGCAAGATGAGTTTTTGTTATGTACTAGTTTCCCCGTCGCCAAATTGTTATGTACTCGTCGCTGAATTATTGTTATGGACTGGTCGAGAAACTAATAGTCCTGACGCGAGAAGGCGGAAATCAGAAGACCACTAGGTTTGCGATGATACTTCTATTGTCCAAACACAAGGAGACGAAAATAAAATGGTCTCACACCAAAGTGGTAAGTAAATAAAGTAAAGTCGTTCACACAAATTGTGAATGCGAATATATATAAATGTTCCAGACAAAGCGTGGGAAAAATCATTAGACAGTCTTAACATGAATGGCTAATTATAATGGAGTGTCGATCCAAATATACATAGCGAATATAGCAGACATGTGAACAACCATATATGGATATATGTCACCAAGCAACGGACTGTCAACAATCACTCATATTATATATAATATAATATAAGGCGAATATACATTATTAAAGGAGACAAGTTCACACAAGTGAAATGGTCACAGACTTTTTTTTAAACAGAAAGAGAGACCAACATACACACACACATAAATATATATATGTGGATACATATCAGTTTTACACTTTCTAAGTATATGTCTTTCCTATTTGTGTGCCGTTATAAACAATCCAGTCGGGAGGGAAGATCGATTCCCCAGCGACGACAGTGGTAGGTGATTGCGCCTAAATCACAAACTGGTAGAAGTTATAATTCACGGGTTGGCCAGTGAATCGGGTCCCAGTGGCTGAATGGTATACGAGCTCACTAGCCTTGTAACCGGAAGTTGCTGTATTCGCACCCCGTTGATGGATGCGTACTGTCGATGATTCCCAAACTAGGATGAAACAGCTGTTCAATGCTCGCTGGTTTTCAAGGGTTCTTTAACTGATATCAATCCGTGGTCAAACTCGAAAAACAAATCTAATCCTTGCAAATCAACTGTTGACAGACAATAACTTGAGTAGAAACAAACGAGTTTTTGATTGATTTCAAGAACTACAGGATATTCACGTATATCAGTCATCAACTGAAAAACTGTGGAGTTTGTACAAATAGTCAAATTATAGTGTACAAAGAATTAGTGTGAAGAAAGATTGAAGAGTTACTATATTACCTTTATATATATATTAGAAAACAATAAACCTGAAAAGAAGAAACGAAATCCTCAAAAATGAGGGTGAAAACCAATCTGGTGCTGTCATGAAGTCTAGTAAAGACATCTAAGTTGTCTTAGTCTACATTTGAGTTTGCTGTATGTTTGAAAATAACAATTTCATTTTTAATGAATTGAGATGAAGAATGTCACCTTTCAACAAAATGTGTACAATATTAGTTCTTACATTCCATGTCGAAAGTAGCGTCTCCTTCTTTCTAAGCTGGCTTGGTGAAAACACACATAAATGTTAAGAGTAACCTTTCTGTGTCAAGAAAGTGTAAAACAAATCATTGATTAAAAGATATATACCGAGCAGCCGCTTCGCCATAGTTCGGCATTTTTCAGTAGTACGCACCCACCACAGGGGTTCGAGCGCAAGACCTTCTGCCGAAGGTTAGGCAGTAACTCATCGAAGAAGACATTGAGAAGTGGTCGCGCTATGTCATGAACTGGCAGAAATTAGAATTTATGGACTGGTCATTGGATCGGGTCCCAGTGGCTGAACGGCCTACGAGTTCGCTAGCCTTGTAACCAGAAGGTCCTGTGTTCCAGCCGTGGTGAGTGGGTGCCTACTGCTAAAAGATCCCAAACTAGTACGAAAAGGCTGTCTGGGAGTACTCCCTGCAGGTTTTTCCAATGGTTCTCTAACTGGTATCAGCTCATAATAAAATCCTTCAACTAATTAAACAAATTTCCCTAATAAATCAATTCTTAAAAGAATAACACTTAAATTTCTCTGTTACCTATGTAGGAGATTTATTTCGTTAGCTAATGATAACATTCTATTATTATTCTCTACCAGAACATTTCAGGAATTTCCCCTTCTGGTTTATTTACTTCCACGTTTAATTTTTTCTCAAATAATTAGATGAACCTCCTTGTTTCCTTTCATATTCTATGTGGATGAAGTCTACGCATGTTATTGTGCCGTTTACTTGTTTGTAGCAGATCAATAAAAGAGATAGAAAAGTACTGATGAACCATTGGGACATAGGTATAAAGTTTTCAGTGTGACTGGAAATAAAATTTAGATTCTAAGCTTTGTTTTGTTTGAAGAATTTTTCTCTTTGATTAAGTAACCATTTGCGACCTTAAAGCATGAATACTTTATGTAATTTCTGCGTCGGTGGCACAGCGGTTAGGACTCTCATCAACCATTCACATGGTCTGAGGTTCGATCCCCTGTCGACGCACACCTGACATCAATGGTCGGCCTGCAAAATGTTTGCTACCAATGTCACATGCTGAAAATTTCACACTTATATCAAAAATACGTTGTGCAATCAAGCTATAATAGAAAAACGTGAAGATGTATGCATTAGTCTAGGACTACTGCGTATTATTAACTCAATTATTCGCACCATTTGCCTACTGACTGGAGGAAAAGTTACCTCGTGAAACTACCAAAGAAGGGCGACTTACGCCTCACTCTGCAAGAACTGGCGAGGAATCATGCTCCTATCGACGCCAAGTAAAATCCTGGGTCGCATCATCCTGGAGAGATTAAAGGACGCACTGGAGACAGAACTCCGACCAGAACAAGCTGGCTAGATTCAGGAAAGGCAAATCATGTTCTGACCAAATTGCAACTCTACGCATCATCATCACAGAACAAAGCATGGAATGGCGATCAAACCTCTACCTCAACTTTATAGACTTTGAGAAGGCCTTCGACAGCGTAGCGTTGATCGTGAAGTAATTTGGAAATTACTCGAGTACTATGGCATACCCCAAATATTCATCAACCTTATTCAACAGCTGTACGACAACGGCACATGTCAAGTGATCCACAACGGAAAACTCAGCAAGGCGTTTGGAGTAAGCACAGGAGTCAGACAAGGGTGCTGGCTTTTTATCACCAATGATATTCCTAATTGTGGTGGACTGACTGGATTATGCGTCAGACAGTGGGAAACGAGAAGACACGGATATCCTGGACCGACGTGAAGAATTCAGAAGACTTAGACCTCCCGAGTGGATGATTTATGTTTGATGTCACACAAAATCGAGGACTTACAAACGAAAACCGACAAACTGGTCGAAGAAGCAGCCGGCGAAGACAGGACTCCAGCTGAACATAGACAAGAAGTGAAGGGATTTAAATTTCTCCATGAGTGATATAATTGCGTATAACGGTAACCATCTTTACATGTGTATTGACCATTTTCTATTGACTTGGATTTTAAACTTTCTGGTCACCTGATTCACTTTTTATTAGTTGGTATATTTCGTCATATTAACGTGTTTGTTAATTGCATATTTGTCTGAGTACCAGGCTTCTAGGAATTTCCTGACTGCAGTTTCGGTATTTCCTCTGTCTAAGATTTCGACATTATCCCAATCATCAAAGTGGTGTCCATAATTATCTACATGCATTGATATGAAAGAATATACATGTCGTGTCGTTACATGGCTGATTTGTGTTACTGGATTCTGACTCGAAGGGGATACCCATTCTGGCCAATGTAATACCTGTCACAGTTCATGCAATTTATTTTGTAAATGGTATTAATTTTGTCACCTTTTCCTGTTGGATCTTTCGTTTCGCATAATATCGAATTAAGCGATTTGACTGGCTTGTGTGCTATATCTATATCAAACGGTTTCAGCATTCTAGCTGTTATTTCAGAAATATTTTTATATGTGGTAGGATGAGTTCTCTTGTGGTCTTCGATGATGGTTCCTTGTTGGTGTCATGATTCGATTTTAAACACATTTTGATGAAATTTTGTGGATAATCATTCTTTTTGAAGACCGTTTGTAGGTATTTTTCTTCTATTCTTTTCAACTCTGGAGTGCTACAGTGTGAATTCTTTTCAAAAATGTCTGCACACAGTTTCTTTTGTGAGCAACTGGATCATTGCTAGTATAGTTGAGTATTTCATCTGTGTGTGTTGATTTTCTATATACTTGTGTTTCTAAATTTCCTGTGTTGGTTCTCCTGATTAAGGCATCTAAAAATGTGATTTTGTTGTCTAATTCTTCTTCTCATGTGAATTTGATGTCTTCATATATGTTATTTATTAATTTATGGGTATATTCTAAATCATTTCTCTTAATTATTACAAATGTATCATCAACGTAACGTACCCAGATTTTCGGTTTAATTATAAGAGAGCATAACGGCTTCAGCTATTAATCCTGATATGGGTGATAATCCCACTGGTGTTCCTCCTATCTGTTCATATATTTGAGTATCGAATTGGAAGTATATTGTAAGGCATAATTTTATGAGTTCTATTCAAGTTGAACATTGCGTTTTTATGTTTTCATCACTATAGAGTAATTGTTGCATAGTTTCTGTTGCTAGTTTTGGACTAATTGAAGTATATAATGCTGACATCAAAGGACACCATTATTTCATTATCTTCTACTTGAATGTTTTGATTTTGTCCATGGCTTTATGAATATATCCAGTATCTGCATTCCTTTTTGTCTACGCTATTCACTAATACAAATCTTCATTTTTCCAAGTGAATCGGATAAATTCCTTCTTGAAGAATTAATAAAAATACTATTTTTGTTTGTATTCTCTAGAAGCCATTGTCAAAACCTACTATCCAACAGAAGATCTAGTTGAAGCAGCACGACGTCTCAACATTATGGCTGGAACACAAGAACTTGACCGTCTGTTAGAAGAATTACGTCTAACAAGTATGAATATGGCTGCTGGTCTGCCACCGCCTTCCACTACGCATTACAACTCTAAACCATACCATTCATCACAAACACAAAGAAAACAATTATTCCATGATGAAGTCTATCCAGAAAATCGATATACACCGAGTCGATCAGCTTCTGCTACTGGCTACAGTACAGATGCACATAATTTCAATGATTCTTTACACTCTAATTATTATCATAAACATTCAACTTTATATTCAGATAGAATTGATAATATTGGGAAAAATACAAGTACGAGTAGATATGCAGCATCGTTGACCAATTCTCCTCGACATCATCAAACAGTATTTACAACAACACTTAAACAACGTCCACCAGTTGCCCCTAGGAAATTCAATCAAATTCATTTGACCATTGATCCAGAATGTGGAACTGCAGATGTAAGTATCCGTGTGAATGAGAATTGTGGGACTTAAAAATTCCCTATAAAACTGATTTTTACGCAGTCACACTGATAAGTTCGAATTAGTAAACGGCTTGGCATCAAGTAGTTGCTTAACAGCATCAAAGAGATCCAAGTAATTTAGGAGACTTATCATAATTAGGCAACTTGATAGTTTGCAGTTACGTACCGACAGGAATATGTTACGAAATATGCGTCGGTGGCATAGTGGTTAGGACGCTCGCCGACAATGCACATGGTCCGGGGTTCGATCCCCGGCCGACGCACACCTGATATCTGTAGTCGGCCTGCGAAATTTGGGCTACCAATATCCATGCTGAAAATTCCATACTTGTACCAAAAATACAGTGTGGAATTAAGCTGTAATCAAAAATTAAAAATTAATTATCTATAAAAATGCTAAAGCTCTCTCTTCCATATTGGACTTTTCTATTTAAATGACATTGTAACTGAGAACAGTGATGCCAGGTATCTGAATGGGTGGAGGGTGAATAGATAAAATTCAATATCCTATTATGCAAGTAAATAGTAAACGGCATTAATTGAATTTGAGATTTTCCCGTCTATTGATTAGACAGAAGTGCTCGGTCTCAGGTTGACATGTCGGCTTCTTGTGCAGATTTAATTAGAATTTAATTGGTGTGTGGTGACTAGCAGTGGAATCCAGGATGCGCATTTCGTCCTATTTAGAGCTCGTCATCAGGTGGATGTACCTGCATTCCTCAGTGAGTGATTGTGTTCCCACTGAAGCTCGAACCCTTTGCCCTTATTTTCAAACGCCAAAGCGTTATCCACTAGACCACTTGAGCCATCATCCACCATTCTGAATAAATTCCCAGATATCGTCAAAGCATCTGCACAAGAAGACGACGTATCAACCTGAGACCGAGCACTTCGGTCCAATCAATCGACGGCAATATCTAAAATTCAATTAAATTAACATGACCCATTGCACAAGAGGTGGCTCCCGTGGCCCAAGTGGTCTAGTGGATTACGCTTTGGCGTTGAAAAGTATGGGCACTCGGTTCGATCCTCGGTGGAACATCATCACTGACTCACTGGGTGGTGCAGGTACACTCAGTTGATGACGGGTCCCAAATAGGACGAAATGAGCATCCTGCATTCCATTGCTAGTCACCATCTACAAAGTAAACGGCTTTGTTTTTAACTTACCTCTACATTTCGACTGATTTCATGCCTAGGCATTAATTTACCTACTGACATATTTTGTCCATGTGTCGACGATATTGCTACAGTTGTCACCTGTTGACAAGTCCTTTATCCTATACATCCATTAAGTGGTCTTAGGTATACTCCGAACAGTCCCAGGTAAAAATCTTTAATTCATCCTTACGCAATTGAGGAAACTAAAAGAATTCCAACTTGAGCAACACAAATTGTCATTATGCTGCAAACAGCTCTTCGACTATATTCTTTGATATGATTGTTGTAAATGTTGTAATGTAGTCACTTGATACTTTTCATTCGCTTTTATACTCAGATAATTTCTTCTGCATTACAATAATTAGGTATGGATTACTTATTTCGACTTTAATAGAGAGACTACTGATGACACACTTCATAATATCGCAATATAATTCAGCCCATATGGTGCCTTTTGCATTGTAGAATGTTTATAATTCCACAGAATGGACTGCGAAATTTAAGGACCCATCATTGGGAGGTTTATACTTTCAGAATACAGAAGGACAATACGAGTAAAGTCATAAAATAAATAACTTGTCTTAAGACGAGTTTCTAAAGATAGAGGATAATAAAAAGAAAATTTCATGTTTAACAATGTACCTTCTTCTCCATTAGTGGCAGCGATAACAAACCTACAGAGACATTTTATCGATAATCTTTTCTACATCCCCATACACTAAGTGTTCACAATCTATATTTCCTGACAGCATTAAAACTTTTTTTATTGAAATAAGAAGTTTTGTTTAACCAAAATTCAAAGTTTTTGTAAATCCTAAGGTTTACTGAAAGGGGGGAGGTTTTAATCCTTATACCTCTACTGTAGTTTTATCTGTTGAGAAATGATTTGATTGGTTATTTTATGTGCAGGGTGCATTATGCGACTACGGGCAGGTCATATATATGCTGGATAAGGATAATAAGACGTTATTTTCTAGGAAAATTTGCATTTTGGAGAGAAATCCTCGGTCTCTGGTGATATGTCAACGGTGTCTGAAGATTAACGTGATGTTACTTTTGGTTGACAGTGACTAATAGTGGAATTCACGATGCCCTTTGTCTCTATTTCGGACTCTTTAACTGAATATACCAGCATCTCCCAGTGGGTGATACTGTTCCCGAATGAAACACGAACGTTTCCAAACTCCAAAACTAAACTTTGATTTAATGCCAGCTACCGAAATGTACTAATATAATGAGGTGCTGTCTAGCGCCAAAAAATAATATCTTTTATGATCAGAGAAGCGATTTACTTATTTGAATGCACACCAACTAAATGTTTTGCAAAGACCAAAAGGCAGGACGAATGTTTTCGTAATTCTAAACTGATCATTGATCACTGCTACTACTCACAAGTAGCATAAAATGGCATGCAAAAATAAAACTAATTTTTTAGAGAAATTTTATTTTTAGAAACGTTCTAATATAAAAGTATGGAACCAAGATATTATGGTTTTTTCTCGATTTCCTTAAATTCCAGATTTTAGTCATAACTTGTATTTCGTCCTACCTACCGGTCATATAGCAAAAGAATTAAATTCCTATAACTTTTTGCACTATTACTAAGATAGGCTATAGGTAGACTGAATTTAAAAGCATTCGCTAACAAAACGCTCTGTAATACAAGTTTAAATACAAACATTTACAATAATGTTGATACAACTGAGGCCGAAACGTTGTCCAGTGATCGATGATCTTATAGAATAACCCTGTGACTTTTAGGTGACAATACAACGGTCTTCCAAATCATACATTTTTACTGACAAATTATTATTATTGTTCCCTTGAGTTCCGAGTGGAACATAGCGCTTCTACAACACATCTCCACTTTGTTCTGTTTCCTGCCGTCCTCTTCAACTGGGTTCACGATTGACCGAATTCTCTCATTTCTTCCTCACACGATCTCCTCCATGTCACCCTTGCACTGACGACCCACTTATCGCGTCCCATTTGGATCCTACTAGAGGGCTTGGCATTCAATGTCACGCGGCGGCCTCCTCCAACAATGCCCCTACATATTTATTGAGCGATCGGCTCTTGGTTAGTTTGTTCCCATAAATTCTTGTTACCTATTCTTTCTAGCTATTTGATCTTCAGTGTAGAGCCAGCGAAGACAACTGTTGATAAAAGTTTGAAACCTCTTGGAAGTGCTTTTCGTGACACACTGGCCAAGTTTCTGACCCGTATAGAAGGACCAACTTCACATTGCTGTTGAAAATCCGAATCTTACTCCATATTCTGAGTGTAGAAGACTTCCAAACGGGTTTCAGGTTGATGAAGGCGTATCTTGCCTTCCTGATTCTGACTGGCTTTGACATGTTCATCCGTTCCGCCAGTCGTTGAAACAGTGCTTCCCTAGATAAGCGGAGGAGGCAACCTCTGTTAAATCTCTCCTGTTGGTGGTGATTGATGCTGGTTATTGTTGCTGTTGGTTGGCTGTCTTCATGACCTCTGTTTTCTCTGTGTTCACCTACAGTCCTGTTTTCGCTGCCAGTCTCTTCAGCCAGTTTGTTGGTTTTCGCCTGCCTGCAAGTCTTCGAGTTCGTGTGACATTAGAGATATATCATCTGAGAAATCCAGATCTTCCAGTCTTCTTATCAGTCGTCCAGTGTATTCCTGACTCCTCACCCCCAGCAGTCTGATGCATAATCCAATCCGCCAGAATTAAGAATATCATCGGTGATAATAGGCAGCAAGCCTTATATTACTCCTGTATTCACTTCGAACGCCTCACTGACTGTCCCATTGTGGATCACTTGACATGGGACACTGTCATAGAGCTATTGAATGAGGTTGAACAAGACTTGAGGTGCACTGTACTGTTGAAGTAGTTTCCAAATAAGTTCTCAGTTAACGTTGTCTGTCGAAGGATTTTTCGAAGTCGATGTGGTTGAGGTAGAGTGAGGCTGACATTCTATGCTTTGTTCGATGATGATGCGTAGAGTTGCTATTTGAATCCAGCTTGTTCCGGACGAAATTTTGTATCCACTGCATCCTTTATTCTCTCCAGAATGATGTGGATAGCATATTGACAAATAATGAATTGTATTATAGTTACTCAGACAGCAAATTATCAAGAAGTGAATTAATACTTCCAAACACTGGATAAAATAATACGCTTTCATGTATTAAGTGACGAGTAGAACATGATACTTAAACATGTAGGCATTCTTTTAGGTTCACCTTATTCATGATAAGTTTTTGTTTTTGCTTTTGATGGCAGTTCATCATTGAAGTGTCTGCAAAACTAATTGTTAATTTCTGAATTTTCAAAAGAATGGATACTGAACAAAGAGTACTCTTTTCGATAACCCTTCGTCATCAGGCTCTACAGTTATATATAAATTATAGTGAATGAATGAATTGGTGTTATGAACAACCTTAATGTTGCTGTTTAAATAACATCGAATCAACAACGTTGATAGATTACAGCTCAATAGCATCAAGATAACAATCAGCTGAATGTCAGTTGAATTAGAAAAGATAATATTACAAATTCATGAATTTATAGTCTCTACTGTAGGCTGGCCAGAGCAGTAGTAGGGGCTGGACTTGCTTCTTTTGAACGCAGAGCACTGGTTGTTTTTTGAGGCGAATTGGAATAGCCTCTGTTGTTTGGAGCATGCGGTACTTCGATGATTTTGGCAATTTATTAGGCACCCGATAAATTATAGAGAAGGATTCTTCCACGCTGGCTTTGTGGCCGGTTTGCACCAGATGGTTCAATATCGAACTGTTAATGGGTTTTACTACACCTTTACTTAGCCATACTTAAAGATGTTCTCGAGTGAGCACGAAAAATCAAGTTCCTGGAGCAACGGCCTATATAGCTCGCTCCACAAGTGGCTAGTTTAGGTACTTCATCTTTCAATCGAGGTGGCACCATCGGCTGTGTTAAGAATAATACGTGTAGTTCGCCAGCATTAGAAGTTCTTTGAACTGATTTTCTTGATTTCCTCGTAATTATCTCACTTCGTATATCACTCTTGAATTCTAGTCGTATATAAAGTGGCTTCTTGTTAACACGTAGTGAGTAGTCCTTTTCTGAATTGTAAGTAGCACAGTTTCTGGTTCACAGATTTCCACTTTTGGACTTAATGAGATAAATACCACTAGAGAGAAAAGTATTTAAATAATGTTTTGTGTTTACCGTAGACTTCTGATATTTTTTGTTATTATCATCCTGTTCAATTTGAGTATTAATTCAAGTCTATTGATCTTTCTATTTCTGTTCTATGCTGTATTTGACTTTCTTTATTTTATTTTAAAGACACACTCTGCAGTCTCAGTACGATTAGATAATCAAGAGTCGTATAAACGTGAAAAGAAACTTGAATCTGATTTACAGTTGGCTAGACAAGAGTTAGCAAATCTTAGACGTGCAATGAGTTTAGTCGACGAGAGTCATCAACGTGAAAATCTATGCGATTCTAGAAATCTTCTTTCACCAAGTCATTCAGTGCCAAGACGATCACCAAATACAGAATCACATCAATTTTTAAGTACAAGTTCTTCATTTCACCGGTCTTATCAATCACAACAACAACAACAACAACAGCAGCACAGTACACCAGCTAGGTAGGTGAAGCATTACTGATGATGCAGTCTAATTTAATACATCTGTGTCATGTAAATGGATTTCATTTTGATACTGTATATATTGAATTTAATTAATCATAGTTATGCTGCCTTTTTCTTTTTACTTTAGTTGGTCTAGTTTATGATGACATCAGTTTATGATAAGAATGTGTATATCTTTTTTTTTAAAGATGAACTTAAGCGTCATTCTCTAGTTATACGGTATATACAAATAATCGTCTGATTACAGACTAACTGCTGGTAGACTAATTTATCGACTTTTACACATAATAAATTAGAGATTTAATAGAAATGGACAAAAGCAATAATTACACTTCTCGCGAGAAGCGCATCACCCTAACAACTCTCAAAACCCGGGCTTTCATTTTATCAGTCAAGCATCACTCGCTATATCAATAACACTTTGCCACCATAAGGAGTATGACAATGATGTCACATATCACAGATGATATTCTTGATTAAGGGGAACTGGATCATGCCACAGACCATGGAGTGCGAGAAGATAGGTACACTTCTGACTCAAAGAAGACTCTAAATGACGTGTATTTCACGAATGATTTGTGTCTAGTGTCAAATATATCGACATATATATATATATATATATTTCCTTCACGTTCCCCAGTGGAATATAGGACTTCAAGCTAGTGGCCTGATGTTTCTGCAGCAGTGTTTATTTTATAGGATGAGGTTGCTAGCCTAATGCCCAACCTTTCCTCTTTACCAGGATTATTTCTGGCTTAGCGAGGTAAAGGAGTGCGTCGTCTGGGGACCGGACCCCGGACCATGTGCATGGCTGGCGAGCGTCCTAACCGCTATACGACCGACGCATCGACATATTTACATAAGAAAATCAAGCTGAGAGAAGAAACAACGAAGACATTAATCCAGTTAAACATAGAGAAGATGGAATTGATGAGTACACCTGAAAGACAGTGGTTAGCATCAGTAACCAGCTCAAGGAATAGTCTAAAGGGTAATTACCTCTTAAACTTCTCTGGGGAGCATCCTTTCAACTGCAAAAGAAGGCACCGATAAGAAATACAAAGCCAAACAATATCAGAAAATCACAACAAACCTCCATTACTCTGGAATCAGTGGGAAAATCCACTGCACCCACTATATGCAACAAGATGCAGATTTTAAACACCAATTTCAAGTCAGTACTTCTCTACGGTTCACAGACTTTGCGCGTGTATCAGGAAAGGCATTTTCAATGGGCTACTGCAGACTTTCATCATCAACTGCCTTCGCTCCATCCTGAAGACCAAGTGACTATATTCAACCAACCAAGAACCTATGGCTCAATAAAAATGAACACTGAAATGAGGATGGATTTCACACATGCATTGAAGACCTCTGATTAACATCGGTCTCTAGGCCATAGAGTAGGTGGAATAACAATTGGAAATGGCGAGTTGAAAGTCCAAGGATGACATGGGGAAAATTGTGTGCGGAGAAGATGAGAGCATATGCGGCTGGGGGGCGACAGCGGAGTCAATGAAAGATGACTGCAGAGAATAGGATGAGGTGTGGATGTGCTGTTGAATCCCGATGTTCCACTTGGAGCTCGAGTGAATAATAACAATATCTTATGGATATTTCAAACTGTCTCAAATCTAACCAACAACATACTCCTCTCCTTTTAATTCTAAACGATAAGGACTGACTAAGGAACACCTAGTCGGGGAGCTAGTGTTATAATAAACAAACAGTAAATTATCGTTTGTTCACAAATCAGCTAGCTGGTCAATACCCATGGCGATTCCAGTGTAATGTAATGTGTACCTGGATAGCAGGTAGCTGGTTGTCACAGCTCAGCTGGTAAATCGTTGAATTAGTAATTACTAGTCAGCTGGTTCAAACTGCATTGCTATGCAGATTTCAGTGTCACCGTCAGTTATCACTCTCATTATACAAAAAACAGACTTGGCGCGTGCATCACGAAAGATATTTCCAACAGGCTTAGGCGGACTTTCATCAGCAGCTGCATTCGCTCCATACTGAAGATCAAATGGCTGAAGAGAAAGGATAAGGAACAAGGAACTCTGGAACCTAATGAACTAAGAACCCGTTGCCTAACATGTATATACAGAGAAATGAAGATGTATGTGACATACTCTGAGAAGACCGTTGGATTACGTCATAAACCAGTCAGGTCCTAAAGTGAGCCCGGACGGGAAACGGAGAGTTGGGTCTTAGTCGCAGTGTAACACAGAGGTGGCCATGTCAGAAGGGAAGGAAAGCTTATGCGGAATCGCGTAGCTAGCTAAAAACACCACAGAGAACAAAGTGAAATGGCGATGAGTTGCTGTAGTCCTATGTTCCACTCAGAACTCAAGGGAATGCTGATTATTTCTCCGTTATATGCGTCCCCAGTTACACTCAGAGTTAAATTACCACAGTGTATCCTTCAAATTATGTTGATGTTACAAATGTTATGACCATTATAACTGAGAGACAGTAGGATTAAATGAATGCCGAAAGGTTTCTGTAGCAAATGAGGGGAAAAAAATGAAATTCGCCTACATAACACAAACAGGATATGCTTTTAAAATGAATTCATATTTTGTCTATGTTAGATACAAAGTCATTTAATTGGTAAACCGAATTATTTATAATCTTTTCTGTTAGTAAGTCGAAAATCAGTAAGTTGTCCACCCTGGATTTCATGTAACTTGTCTGTAATCTTTAGTTGTGACGGGAAAAAAATTGCAAATGTTAAAAATGAACCCATCATAATCTAGCTCAGTTTATCGATCAAAGATAAACGTTATTTTCTGGAAGAAATAATAATTCAGTGATTAACTAAAGCCAACAAGATAGTAAGTAGATTAACAACTATACACAAGTAGCTGGAAGGTGACGTACTCTGTATCTACAAATTACATAGAAATTTACTAATCAATTAAATGTCATCATTAGGTTACAGAGTAAATGTAACTTCTAAATACCACTCAGTTCTTTGTATTCATATTTTCAATAGCTTAAGAATCCCGGTGGTTGCGTACTACTGAAGAGTCCCAAACTAGGCTAACGAGACAGCTGTCCGGCAGTACTCCCTGCAGGTTTTCCAATGTTTCTCTAACCAATGTCAGCTCATGATGAAAAATCCTGTAGCTCAAGAAGTCATTAGCAAGGGCGAGGGGGGGGGCGGAAATATTAGACGTTGTGTGGGCAAACAGAGAGAAATAAAAGGAATGTTCTATTTATCATTGCCCAAAAAAATTTTAATTGTCTGTTGAACCAGATAATACGACATCTGTCATATCAATTATGATGACGCTTTTTGATCTTGACACTAAGATCGAATGCCGAACATTGACACTATCAACTTAAAGTACTATTGTAAGCGACAGTTATTGTTGGCATTATAAAGTTCACTTATATGGAAAGTAAATTTGGGTTAGGATTAATATTCAGCTATGATTCTATCTGCCACAGACAGATGTTGACTGGTCTTATTATCATTTCGAAGATATGCATTCAGACTTATCACATTTGAGGATTGATGATCAGACCATCTGAGTAAACCTTCAGTTAGCAGATTGTTACTATTGTGATAGGGTTGGTAATTGACGGTGACATTGCAGTTTGAACCACCTGACTAGGAATTACTAATTCAACGATTTACCAGCTGAGCTGTGACAACCAGCTACCTGCTATCCAGGTACACATTACATTACACTGGAATCGCCATGGGTATTGACCAGCTAGCTGATTTGTGAACAAACGATAATTTACTGTTTGTTTATTATAACACTAGCTCCCCGACTAGGTGTTCCTTAGTCAGTCCTTATCGTTTAGAATTAAAAGGAGAGGAGTATGTTGTTGGTTAGATTTGAGACAGTTTGAAATATCCATAAGATATTGTTATTATTCACTCGAGCTCCAAGTGGAACATCGGGATTCAACAGCACATCCACACCTCATCCTATTCTCTGCAGTCATCTTTCATTGACTCCGCTGTCGCCCCCCAGCCGCATATGCTCTCATCTTCTCCGCACACAATTTTCCCCATGTCATCCTTGGACTTTCAACTCGCCATTTCCAATTGTTATTCCACCTACTCTATGGCCTAGAGACCGATGTTAATCAGAGGTCTTCAATGCATGTGTGAAATCCATCCTCATTTCAGTGTTCATTTTTATTGAGCCATAGGTTCTTGGTTGGTTGAATATAGTCACTTGGTCTTCAGGATGGAGCGAAGGCAGTTGATGATGAAAGTCTGCAGTAGCCCATTGAAAATGCCTTTCCTGATACACGCGCAAAGTCTGTGAACCGTAGAGAAGTACTGACTTGAAATTGGTGTTTAAAATCTGCATCTTGTTGCATATAGTGGGTGCAGTGGATTTTCCCACTGATTCCAGAGTAATGGAGGTGTGTTGTAATTTTCTGATATTGGTTGGCTGTTTAATCCTTATATATTCTTCTGTCAGTAGTTGGAGCAATGCTACGTAGTAATGACTTTCAATAGATTCCTCCCGTTGATGGCGGTCGATTGTTTCTATTGTTAGTTAGGTGTTTCCATCACCTCTGTCTCTCTTTTTGCGTTTGAAGCCGTGCCCTCATTGCCTCTTCTGGAATCTAACATACAAAAGAGACAGTGAAATATAAAACTCCAGTTTACATTTTGTCAATCAAAATCAGTCCTTATGAGAAGCTGTCACAGCTATCAACACTTCTCCAACACTTTATATCAATAATTCTTATGTAAATTTGAATTCTAGTATCTCATATCATAAAATGGAGCAATCTAACCTAATGGACACAATAAGACACTTATTGATACACTCTTCCATTTCAATAATGGCTGAGTGAACTTTAAATCATAAAAAAGTTACATACGTTCTCATGGAAACAGATACCTGTAAATGATAAATGCTAATAAGCACAGAAGTTAAAACAAGCAATAAAGGTTAATAAAACAAGATTTAATGAATTCAGCAGTTCCGAAGAAACTTGTCTATATCAGTTTACCGTTAAAAGGAGATGATGTAAAGGAAGTAGTCGAACGAAGACTCGGCAAAGCCATCAAGAGAACTTATTATGCTTCAAAACGTGTTATCCTTACCACCATTAAGAGAGTGCTTCAACAATCTGGGAAAGACCAGTCACCAATCCTGGACACTTCAAACTGAGTATATCAATTTGAGTGTGTTTGAGGAAGCAAATACATAGATCGTACAGAAAAGCAATTGTATCTACTCGCATGATGGAGCATTTGCCAAAATGGTTGAAAACAGCTGCTGAGTGCAAAGCGCCAAAATCCTCAATAACAAAACATCTTGTGGACTATGGACACGATATGGACGCGGTCAAGTCATTCATTATTTTCAGCAGACAAAAAAACAGGAAGATGCTTGCATTTGCAGAGGCTTGTGCAATTCGAGTTTATAAACCAGGTCTCTGTGTACAAAAGGAGATGGTCGTGACTCTGAATCTACCATGGTTATACGTTTTACTTATTATTCAACCTCTTATTATTATTATTCTTGATTCATTTAAAACTATCCTTTATCAGTAGGATTATCTTAACTCACTTCAATACTTTTATTACTATTGTTATTATAACTATTACTATCGATATTACTCTGTTTGCAATTCTTGTTATATTCTGTGATGACTAATTGCTTATCTAAGTGATGTAATTGAAGCGTAATGCAATTTATCTTAATTTTGATCTCTCATACTCTCTCTCGCCTTATCTATTTGAACATGACCTGGAAAACATTCACACCTGCATTTCTGCATGACTAATTCAATGTATTTTGTTTACTTATCAGTCTTATATCTCCCAATGCAATTTCAAGAGTATATTTATCCGTGTATGTAGAGTATTCATCTGACGAGTTCTACCGGAATTCGATGAATTCATTAAATCCTGCTTTATTAACCTTTATTGCTTGTTTTAAATTCGTATCGGGAAATAAATGTTTTCAAGCACAGAAGTGATATCACTTAGATAGCTTAAGTATCATAATATACGAATATCCTTCATCAACTGGAATATAAATAATGTGCTTACCAACGCACATCATTCATTGAATTACTAACAGTTTTCCAAACCAATGCTACTTCAGACAGTCACGCCAACAAATGTTAGCACCATGATATAAAACAGTGATATATTCACCTTTAAGGAGTTACATTCATATTAGTTGAGTAAAAGTAATAATTACTGATAAGAAATAATCAATAATAAAGACCTTGAGGTTTGCTGATTCTTCTTCTGATAACTATTCACGGCCTGTAGATATTATCACTTGATTTCTCAAGTGATTATATAATTATCTAATTAGATTTTTTTAAACTGGTAATGACTGCATGTATGTATGTATGTATGTGTATGTGTGTGTATTTATGGTCAGATGGATGTGTAGAGTGTGTGCAAGTGATCCAGAGAAACTCACTGACAAAAAATAATAAATCACGTGTCAGCCTAGGTGTATATATGAGGATAACGGAATAATCCCTATTCTTTTTGCTATTAAGCAAATATGGACCATTTGTATTTCTGTGTATGTGAGAGATAGGGAGGGTGTGTGTGTTGGTACCAGCTTCACTCATATATACTATTTTTACTGCACGTGTGTAAATGAAACATACTCAAATTGATAATGATAATGATGACAATATGATGTTACCTATATAAATAAATATCTGTTATTTACTTCAAACTAATTTCTTCTTTTTCGTTTTTCTTTTCGTCTAAACATCTCTCTCTTTACTATTTGCGACTGTCATTTCATGCCTTCCTGATGTATACAAAATGTATTACACAAAACAAACTCATAGTATCAGTTCATACCATCAAAGAACGTATCCCAGGAAAGAACCAGTTTGTAAGTACAATTTATGATACAATTTCAGCGTTAATTTTCGTTTTTTTCAAAAAAATGTATTTAACATTTCTTTACTTCATGTATTGGTTTTGTAGGGATTTTGTTTGATTGATTGGTCGGAGGATTTCATCATGAGCTGATATCAGTCAGAGAACCACTGGAAATCACCTGGGAGTACTGGACAATTGTTTCGTCCTAGTTTGGGATTCTAGGACGAAACAGCTGTCCAATACTTCCGGTTTGGTTTTCCAGTGGTTCCCCAACTGGTGTTAGCTCATGATGAACCCCCCCCATCCAATTTCACTATTTGTTCTTTTCATAATTTTCTAAGAGGTAAAAGGTAGTTTTTACTTATATTATAGTTTGTAGGGTTTTGATTTATAAAAGTGGAGCTAAATTTCACAATTTCAAATCAAAGTATGCGATTTGTGTGAAATCATAGATGGTTCTCAAGAAAGTAAGTACATACTCTTATGTACTACGTTTTGATTGGTGTGATCAGCTGGATGCAGACTACACCAGCTGGCGGTGCATGACAGTCGGATCAACGTCGTCGATACACCGAACGGTTGACAAATCAGTTTCACTCGTTTGAAGTCAGTTTGCCTCAGCTCAGAGAGCTAAATCATTTCAAACCACCTTAGTGCTGATTAGCCAGTTGTGTGGGTTAAATGGATAATACGCTTAGTCAAATTCTCAGTATACGGTCTGAAACGAGCAAAATGGAAATCCGGCGTTCAGAATGTTTTGATTTGGTTAGCAAGCACTAATAGTTGATGTAAGTGATATCCAGATACTTGTTTGAAGATTGATGTGACGTTGGCTAGCAATTGAATCCAGTATGTAAAATTCTTCTTGTCTGAGACCCATCGTCTGGATGCAACTACATTCCCAATGAGAGTTATTGTCTCCTCTGGAACTCGAGCCCAGAACCTATGGTTTAAATAGGCCAAAGCGTTATCCCCATTATGCTTCTGGGCCATGATAACCTGCTGTTGTCCAACGGGCAACAATCAGTACAATCAATCGAAGTGTCGCTACTAGGAGTTGACATATGTTAACAGACACAGAACATTTCTGTCGAACATAATGAACAAACGGGAAATTCAAATATGGTTAACAAGTATTAACTGATATTTCCTTGCTAAACGGGTGACTTTCTGTTATGATGGAGTGATAGTCAGTTGTAGGTTCGTCAAACTTGACTAGAATGCGCCTCCAAATGATCACTTGAGTTCATCCGCCACACTGAGATAGAGACAAAAAGTTACACTGGGGAGAACGACAACTGGAACAGTAACGTTTATTAAACAAAATGTGTATTATATTATATTAGCAAACCCTCAGAAGTTTGAGTAATAAACAAACTAATCAAATCTGCCCAATCCCAATAAACAAGCATATCCGTCCTAACACTGTCTTGTTCCAATGGCCCAGTGGAAAACGCCTCAAAGTTTGGAACGTTGACTTCTAAGTTCAAGTCTCAATGAGACCACTATCAGTCGATGTGGATGTAAGTACACCCCAGGTGACGAGCCACCATCAATCACACGACACTGTATTCTTTAAAGCAGCGGTTCACTGGTCACTGAAGCGGAGAAGATAATAATTTAAGGAGAGAAGCCTTCACTTCTAAATTCTGAAGTCAATAAATCTAAAAAAAATTGAAAGCCACCACAGATTATAACTGTTTTCACTTGAAAATCTCAGTTTTATGAAATGAATTTTTTTCCAGAAAACTACTGACTACCCAAAAGACTGTGTAGTGCTTATGTCACTCAAATCCCTCTAACGATAACCCCCTTTAGAGTTTCCCATGTCATTTGTATTTGTATTTTTCTGATTAAGGAGTAAGGAACCTAAATCATTAGTAGTAATTCCATACAACGAAAAAAACTCAGAAACCTTACGCAGAATTATTAACAAAGTAGGAATGAAAGTGGCATTCAAATCCACGAGCCTTTAAAACAAAACAATTTCGTTAATATAATACCCTGCTGGAATGATTGTCAGGTCAAATACATAGATCAAACTAGTAGAACAGGGGCAGTCAGACTAGTGCAGCATAAAAACTGAGAAAAATCTAGATTAGTTGTCCTGAATAAGATAAGAAATTTAGAGAATAGTTCAGCTATAGCACTCACAACATACAGTTACACCCAACCATACAATAGAATGATGGGATAGGATGACAGTTTTAAAATCTGATGTCACAGGGTGGAGGGAGAGATTGATAACAAAAGCTTTGTTTATCGAATCAACCGCAAATACATGTAATAGGAATGTTCAACACCTGTCCCAGGTAGCTATCTGGAAAATCCTACTACCCTTACGGTAAATAGGGGAAGACAAGAAAAACTATAAAACTCAAGTTTCGAAGTCGTGTGATTATAATTGATGAGATTATTATGAAGAATAAATTTTGTTCGGAAGTGTGTCGTCCAGTAAATAATACTGTCTCACTGTGTGATGCATCTAATAAACAAACTAATATTAAATTACTTACCATCATAATGCCCAAGTTTTGCACATATATTAATTTCTGAGTATTTTTTCTCAAAAAATAAGTACTAAATGGTTATAAGGCAAATTTAAAATTTCATTTCTTTGCTTGTTTTGTTCGAATAATAAAACAACAAAAATAAAAATAAGAGTTCAGGTGATTTAAAAATAATAATAATGCATGATCATGTTTGTTGACAGAGTGAAATTATTGATCTTCTTTTTTTTTAAAATATAACTGAGACCTACCTACCTGCCTACCTATCACTTATGCTACTGATGTTGGTGCTTATCATATGGAGTTAGAGCATGTTTGTTATCGAAAAGAATAATTAATATATCAAATACTGCCTAATATATATTAGGCAGTTCTTACATTTATTTATTGTTTTGAATGATAAATATTAACAACCTAAAAATAGAGCAGAAAAAGAAGCCTACCTGAAATGATGACTGCATACATGTAATAGATGTAACATATATATGCGAATATAAATTGCACAGCTGCATTTAACAGCTAGCTTCACTGACGTAATTTAAATAATTGAGTGATCGATTCGACGATATTGGTAGGTTTTTTTCTTTTTGATTAGTTCCAACCTATATAGCAAAGTTGGAAAGTCTCTGTTTTATGCACCATTGAGAGTGGTACAATCTCCACTACTGAAGGAAATATTAGTTTCCTTAGAATCACAGGTGTGTCTTGTTTGGCTGGTGCCAACAAGTTTATTAGCCAGTTGATTGATTGAGTAATGCATCTAGATGCGTTGCTAAAGCAACAACATCAAGTTTATTACAAATAGTAGTATAATTTAATTGGTTTATGGTGACTAGCAGTGGAATCCTGGATGCCCATCTCGGCCTATTTGGAACTCGTTGACGGGGAAATCTAAAATTCAATTCAGTTAATATGACCCGTTGCACAAGAGGTGGTTCTCATGGCCCAATCAGTCTAGTGGATAACGCTTTGGAGTTTGAAACTGTGGTCACTGGGTTTGAGCCTCGGTGGGAACATCATCCCTCACTGGGAAATGCAGGTGCATCCAGATGACGAGTCTCAAACAAGACGAAATGCATATCCTGGATTCCACTGCTAGTCACTATCCACAAATTAAATTCTAATTACCTGTTCAGACATCGTCGAAGCATCTGCACAAGAAGCCAACATGCCAACCTGAGGCTGAGCACTTCGGTCCAATCAATCGACGGGAAAATCTAAAATTCAATTAAGTAGTATATATTGTCTCGAAGATTGTCCTTTCTTCAATCTAGTTGACAAGGTTAATGAGTCGATGAAAAAATTTGATTAGTTCAAAATAATTGATTCTCATGTTTAAAAGATTTCGAATACCATTCACAGGAAAATCTGTTCAATTTTTTAATCTGTAATTCAGTTCAGATTGAAATCAGTCAAAGAACAGTTGAACGGCTGTTTCATCCTAGCTCTTTGGGAATCATCGGCAGTACTCACCCACCGCCAGGGTTCGAACTCAGGACCTTCATGGGTTTTCACTGAATCGGTTCCCACTGGGTGAATGATATACGAGCTTGCCTTGTAGGCAGAAAGTCCTGGGTTCAAACCCTGGCGGTAGGTGCCTACTGACGATGGTTCTCGAACTAGGGTGAAACAGGTGTCCAGTACTCCCTGCTAGTTTTCAACTGGAATCAACCCAGGATCAAGCTTGAAAAACAAACGTAATTCTTACAAGTCAACTTTTGAAAATCACTAAAGTAGTAGGCGGAAATAAAACTTCCTGATTTACTCTTTCTACATTCCTAGTCGACATGTAAATTTCCTTTTATGTCCCCTAGTTAAGTTTGATCGTTGCTTCGAAAAAATGTTTTAAAATTTTCATTCTTATTGTCAATTATGCATTAGTATCGGTATTGGATGTAAAGGATTGTTAACTTTCATTTACTTTACACAGTGAATTCTTCAATTTAGTTTTGATATGTGTAAAGCTTTAAAGTAGTTAAAGTTTAGGGTACATGGAGTGCTATGGAGTAAAAACTACTTGGAAGAAAAAACTCACTGAAATGTTTTTGTATTTTCTCTGTTTCTTTTCTCTTGTATTACTTTTACTTCTTCCCCTTCTCTCCGTCCTCCTTCTTATCCTCCGGTTACTTCTCCCCTGTCCAGCTACTCTTCCTTCTATTACTTTTAATATTAGTACTGATATTAACACTACTCAACAAACATTTTTGACCACCAGCGCTTTCTATTGCTTAAGAACATCTTTCGCAGTCAAGACTCCAATGCATCCATGCTGTAATGATTCACAGTAATAAAGAATATCCTAGAATTGTAATCAGTAAAAAGTTTGAGCATTGTGGTCATATTCCAATAGTTTACACACAATGATAAGTTTTGTTATTGGTAGAATACGTAGACTTACAACAACACTAGAGGACCAGTGTAAAGGAATAAACCTCCTAATCAAAATGCTACTCGAAAACAACTGCTCAAAAGAACTTATAAAAGGTAATATAAAAAAATG